GATCCACCCACCTCAGCCTCCCAAAGTGCTAGAATTACAAGAGTGAGCCACCGCGCCTGGCTGGTTACTTAACCTTTCTAAATTTCAGCTCCCTCATCTGACGTACTTACCCCATATGGCTGTTGAAAAGATAAAATGAGGTCACAATACAGAATGCTTAGCTCAGTGGGCAGCAGAGAGTAAACACTCAATAGACGTTGGTATTGACTATTATTTTATTCCTCTCTGGGTTACCAAATCTCTTACTTCTCCCTATTATCAATCCTAGTGTTTTTAAACCTCATTTCTTTCTTAATAATTGACATAGGATGTTCCCAAGCATGGTAGACTCCCATGGAATACGTAGATCTTAAACTCAAGCCTTGGAAAGAGATAAAAAGCCCTCTAATAACTTGTATATAAGTATTAGTATTATATGTCTACAGGTATTAGTGGATCATTAAGAGCAGAAGCATGGAGAATAGAGAGGTTCTGGGTAATTTCCCTGGCAGACTGGTTTTAACTCTCATTTAAGAAACCTTGTTGGGTGGGGCACAGTGGCTCATGCCTGTAATCCTAGCACTTTGGGAGGCTGAGGCAGGCGGATAATTTGAGGTCAGGAGTTCGAGACGAGCCTGGCCAACATGGTGAAACCCTATCTCTACTAAAAATACAAAAATTAGCTGGGCGAGGTGGCATGCACCTGTAATCCCAGCTACTTGGGAGGCTGAGGCACGAGAATTGCTTGAACCTGGGAAGTAGAGGTTGCAAAGAGCTGAGATTGCACCACTGCACTCCAACCTGAGTGACTGAGCAAGACTCAGTCTCAAAAAAAAAAAAAAAAAAAAAAAGCTTGTTGGAATATGACATTAGACTGACAATAACTCTAAATCCATTTTAATTGACTATAAAAATAGGAATTCACTTGCAATCACTGGAACTGTAATCATTTGACATAGAGCAAATTCCTATGACACAACTCACAAATGATTGTGACACACCATGAATGCAACTTCCTGGTCTATACAATCAAAACGGATTATGGAGAATAAGGCAGCCATACACATAAAATATGTGTGATTATCATTGATGAGAAGGACATAGATCTAATTTTTAATAAAAAATGTGTGTAAGAGAAAGAGAAAAAGAAACTTTTACTAGACTCAAGGTTGGCATTTATTTTCTGTGTGACCTTGGGCAAGTCACTTGTCTCTGGTTCTCAATTTCTTTCCTTTTTTTTTTTTTTTTTGAGATAGAGTTTTGCTCTTGCTGCCCAGGCTAGAGTGCAATAGCACGATCTCGGCTCACTGCAACCTCCGCCTCCCAGGTTCAAGTGATTCTCCTGCCTCAGCCTCCCAAGTAGCTGGGATTATAGGCATGCACCACCACGCCCGGCTAATTTTTGTATTTTTAGTAGAGATGGGGTTTTACCATGTTGGCCAGGCTGGTCTCGAACTCTTAACTGAGCTGATTTCTCCTCTACTCTGTCTCAAAAAAAAAAAAAAAAAAAAAAAACCCACTATGGATTAGAGCAGTAGCCCCAAAGCAAAGCCAACCTGGTGCTAGGTTCTTTGAATACATGATGTCAATTTTCATAACAACCCTCTGGTGTAGGGAAGGCTATTTATTATACCCATTTTACAGATGAGGCTTCAAGATGCTTTGTTGTTGGCCCGGGATACAGAGCTCATAAAACAGACCAGGTCTGACTCCAGTGCAGTGTTCTCAGTCATTAACCTATACTTTCCTTTTTGAGATGGAGTCTCCCCCCGTCTCCCAGGCTGGATGGAGTGCAGTGGCACGATCTCAGCTCACTACAACCTCTGCCTCCCAGATTCAAGCGATTTTCCTGCCTCAGCCGCCAGAGTAGCTGGGATTTCAGGCCTGTGCCACCACGCCCAGCTAATTTTTGTATTTTTTAGTAGAGCTGGGGTTTTGCCATGTTGGCCAGGCTGGTCTCAAACTCCTGACCTCAGGTGATCTCCCCACCTCAGCCTCCCAAAGTGCTGGGCTTACAGACGTGAGCCACCGTGCCTGGCTGACTTTCTTTCTTTCTATTTTTGAGACGGAGTCTCGCTCTGTCACCCAGATTGGAGACTTTCTTTCTCTTTTAAATCACTCTGTAGCCCCAGAACCTCCCCGTGGTTGGGATGTGGAACATGACTGATACTGACAAATGTTCGTCTCTGTTGATGTTTGCTTCATAGTTTTTTGGCTGAGAAGCAAGAGCTGTAGAATCAGGCTGTTTGGGTCCCAAGCCCGCCCGGTTTTCTAGCTGTGTGACCTTGGGCAGCTTGCTTCACTGAAGTCTCAGTCTTTGATTTGAAAAAAAAATCACATAACAATATGGACTCCTTTGGGCTTGTGGTTAGGGCAAAGCAGGAGGAGAAATGTGAGGGCTTGGCACTCAGCAGCACGCCTTCATCTCGGGCTGCAGTGCGGTGCATTCGGAGCACCGTGCCTGGCAGCAGACACACCTCTATGAAATGTGGACCAATTGAAGTATTTTCTGTTCAAAACACAAATCCACGTCCTTTCCCCTCCTGAAAATTATGCCTGGTTGCTTGCAACAGTCCTCCTAATTGTTTTTTTTTTTTTTTTTTTGGCCTTATTTTTAAATCACTTCCCATTCCCCTCTCCACCCCTCTAAAGCCTGCCTACTTTTGCTATTTCTGATTTGTGAGAGTTCTTTATA